GAAGAATAGTTAAACACGCAGGTAGGAAGCAGTTTTTTAACCGTGGCAGAGGTCGAAGATCATGGGAACGTGGGTACGGTTTTAACACCACAGGAAAAGAAACCGCAACATGCACGAAGAACGTGGTAGCAGTTTCGTTAACTGCTCCTAAGAAACTACTTGAAAGATGATCTATAAATAGAGCAAAAGATGAAAGGAAAGGGGGTGGAAAAAATTGGCAGAGAACAGAAATACTAGTGAGAAGTCTACCGGAGAACGACGAACATCATGAAGTTTCTGGCGATCTGGATTTCCATGCTCATTGAGTACCTTTACCGCTTTCTTTATTTTCCCTGGTAATCTAATTTGATGCAATTTATCTTTAGCAACTTTAAGTTTCTGTACTTTCGATTCCTTGTCATTTCCTTTAATGAAAGTTAAGTTTTCGCATTTAAGCTTCTTGGTATTTACATTTCTGTAATCTCGATTCCTTGCTATTTACATTTTTGCGTATTTCGATTTCCTGCCAGTTATATTTTCTGCAATCTCGATTTCCTGCCATTTACATTCTCGCTACTCCAATTTCTTGTCATTTAATGCAAATTTGAGGTTTCTGCATTTTTACCTCTTGGCAATTCAATTTTCTGTTTTGCTTTTCGATTCGACGCTTCTATTGCTTTGTTTACTTTGAACACTCTAAACATAAAATACCAAAAACAACATTTTCGATACTATGTAAATTTCGATTCTCATATGCATTTCAATTGAAAATCAATTTGCTAGCCTAAGTAAAAAAGAACTTGCGTGGTTTAATTTTGATTAGAATGAAAACCTCTTAAGAATTGGAATCGATCGAAATTCCACCAGAAACGACTTTATATCTTAATTTTATATAATTTTTTATTATATTAATTTATCATCATATTTTTTATTAACTCATTATTTATTACCCTAATAATAATTTATTTATATTTAATATATTGTATCCAAATAGTTTCTTTTAAGAAACCAAAATAATTAAGTATCCTTTTATTATTTACTAAACACACCCTACAAATATAATTATTGCTAATGTAGAGGCGACTTAAATAAATATCAGTCATTGGTAAGATGCAATTAAATTCAATGGACTTAATGGCATGTAATAGTAACAACGATATAGTGACTAGGCATTATGTCCTAATTTATCGTGAGATAAGTTGTGTCTAATTCTATCACGAGTCAAAATTTGTTGAATTATTTTCTAGTTACATTATTGTGGGGGGAAATTAATCTTTAAGACAATAAATTAGAAATATATGGCTGGTAAAATAGTAGTCAAAATATTATTAAGATTCATAAAAATATTTATTAACAAATGGCTGGTAAAAAATATTCCAGAAAATATTACACATTTTTTAGAAAGGGAAAGGTAGTGTATTATTTTTATCAAAATATTTACTCTATTACCATATTAAATTATTTAATAAATAACGACATGGTACTTTTACCGTAAAAATTCTATTTTTATTGATAAAAACAAATAGAACCTAAAAGCTCATTATTAAAACCCTCTAAATAGTTATAAATTTATAGCTGTGACTAAAAAAATGAAAAAAACTAAGATGTGATAACTTACAATCTAAGTTGTGTTATAAATTTAATTGGTGGCCAAAATTTTGTAGTGAGCAACACAAATATAAATGATAAAGGCCATTCCTCCTTTATTATTCATGGCCCATATGCATTTTGTATGTCTCTACTGTCCCTGTCACATTATTTCAACAACAGTAAGTAAAATAGACTTCATATTGCAGTGGTTACGACAAGATATTTAAAACAAAATGCATTTAAGATATTCAAAATTAAAATTAAAATTAAAATCCGCTCGATAATTAAAACAATTTGAGTAAAAAATTAAAAATATACTTATTTATTTAATAAAAAATATAAATTAAATATTCATTCAATTATATAATTATTAATTTTTTTCATGAATTAAATAATTTTCTAAATTACCTTATTTAAATTAATATTTCACTTTTGTAATAATATATATTTTGATATATGATTATAAAATAATTTTTTTATAAAATTACATTTAAAAATATTGAATTATAATATTGTATTAAATACTAAATATTAAACTAATAAACTAATTACCTTATTATATTTTTTATTCATGTCTTATACTAAATATTTGCATTATTCACTTTACATTTTCTCTTAGTTCCAATAAACCTAAAGTTTCTAAATTCTAATTATATAGTAAGAAAATAATAAGAAGTAGCGTAAATTGTGGAAATTTTGGGCCAGCAATAAATTGACGGAGTAGTAGCTCCAATGGTGAAGTGACAATTGGTCTTGTTTGTGAAACAATTAATTTACAACCTTCGACTGGACCCATTCCTTCCCTAACTAACCCTAAAGAATGAAGATGACTAAGTCAATTTCCATATATGTATATATATCACACTATTCTCATCATTTCATTGTGTCCTTAAATGCTTCATTATGTCTTAAACCAGACGCATAAAAAGGATAAAAATAGCAAAAGCAAAGTGGTTTCGATAGTGATAACCTAATTTCAACAAATCGTATCATTGATCTAAGTCTTTACGACTTTTGGGAAAATTCAAGAGCTAATTGTTTTAGGTACCAATGTTTGTACTTAAAACAAAAACAAAACTAAAAAACTGTTTTTCCCCTTTTCAGATAGAAAAACACTTCTTTAAAATAATAAATTGTTTTGATTAATTTCAATCATTTTTGTAAGAAATTATCCTTCTTTGGAATCTCATCATAAAAAGTAAGAAAAAAAGGTAATTGAAAATAGAATGAAAAGTAAATGAAGCATGATTTTAAAATGGTATCATTAAATAGAATGAAATTAGTATAAGATTTGTTTATATGCAACTTCCCTATTCATATTCGAGATCAACGTAATACTACATGACAGATATATATAGTTCTCACACTCTTAAAAAATGAAAAATATTCTCACAATTTTTAAAATATTTTTTTTTCTTTAATTAAACATCCATGGATCGATACTGGCACATGTATATAAAATCTCATTGATATTTGCTTAACATAGCATGTGTAAGTCTAAAACAAAGATGGGACAACTACTACATGTTCGGTAGTTATGACTACCAAAATATCGTCATTAACTAGGTTTTAAAACGTAGGAGAATACTCAGTGTTAATTGGGGTTTTAAGAATGGTTCAAAATTACAGATAAAATGTTAGTAATAATGATTTTATTATATCAAATCACATGTAACTTGTTTGAATTTTTTAATAGGAGTATACGAAGATTTTTTTTCTTAAGCTATCATCATGATGATCCAATTCAATGAGTTATTGCTTCGCATATTCTTCTACCATACAATGATTTCTATAGGTTACGGAAAAATATAAGTCTGAAGTTTCACACTACTACTAAAAGATTGGCTTCAAACATGAAGTGAAAGATGTTCATTTTTTACACAATCCACAAAGTATAATTTTTAGGAAGATGTAAAATATTTTTACTGTATGATATTAAATTTTACATTAAATGCATGAACAAAGACTCCTTCTTTGTATGGGATTTTCATACCAAAAGGAAGCTAGCTGATTGAAAAAGCTCTCACAATATCAAATTACTAGAGTTTCGTGTTTTCTTTGTATGATTTTCAAATGAAACCTTTTGACTGACCGAAAATTCATATTGGTTTTTTACTTGTAAAAAATATATCCACATAATTCAAGTCCCTTACTTTATATTAACACAATTCCCCGACTTGTATGTCTCATACTTTAACAAGAAACCAGATCTATAATCAATTCAGTCATCTCTTCTAATTGATTATGTACTTGAATTTGAGTGAGTTAAAATAATTTTTGTACATAGTGGGTTTTGAATCCTACACGATGGGGTACGCTTGAAAGAAACTAACAAGAAGACCAAAGTTTGCTCTTGTTTAACTGGTGCAAATTTTATATACTATTTGCTATAAAGTTTGGTAAAGAACATTAGTCCATACGGTTCAATTATGAATCGCTGGTTTGATTAGCGACCAATACCATCTTTTCTTGTTCTAATAACATTAATATAATGTGTTCATACAATTTTGTTCTTTATAATCCTTGAATTATCCATTCAAACTAATTATATTTAACTTTGTCTTATTAGCATGATTGACTCGATGGAAAATAAGTTGTAACCAAATCAATCATTTTAATTGGTTAACCAAATGGATTATGAACAAGAGTAAATTATCATCTTTTTTAAAATAAAAAGAGTAATTGTTCTCGTAAACGATTTTATTTTACTTGCAGAAAGTTTGTTTCTTGAAGTTAATAAGTTGATTGTTTAGAAAGCATAGCTGTGTGCTCAGGTAATATATGTGACAGACGAAAAAATGCATTAAATCTAAAGAAAATAAAAGGGAGTTGTCACGTACAGAAAACAAAACATTTTCCATTTAGAATTCACGTGACGAGAAGGGAGTATCGCTTTCTTTCACAGTTTCAAGTTAGCTTCTGGACCTAATAATATGGAAGGAGTAGGAACGCACGCAGGTTGTAGCTGATTGATGGTGTGAGAGGTGATGAAAAAAGGTGAAAATAGAGGCTTTTTTGGGTTAATTTTTTTCACATTCCGTGTTGGAAAAGAAGCTAACCACTCTGGGTGGAAAGGAATTGTGGAGATATGGAACACAGCTTGTGATGGTATAATATTTGTGGGCAGAAGGAGGCCTACAAGGTGCTCATTAATTTGAGTTGTTAAGGAGCCATGGATTTATCAAAGTTGTGCAGGTGAAACTTTTATTGCATGTGTACTGTTCTACTTCACCGACACCCCATATAAATTTCGTTAAGACTTGTTAAATACTTATACTCTCTCACTTGCACACTTTAGAAGTTGAACCTCAAAGCCCTATTAATTCCCTTCACCTTCCCCTTCCTTCGTACTTTGCTTCTCTCTCTCTCTTTCTCTCTGACCCTCACAACACGTCTATCATCCACTTTCTCACGCGCCAGCTAACAAAGATATGGTACAAGCAAAGAAGTTCAGAGGAGTCAGGCAACGCCAGTGGGGCTCCTGGGTGTCAGAAATTCGCCACCCTTTACTGTAATCATCTCATTAAACTCAAACCAATGCTTACTCAGACAATGCTGCTTCTGCTTCTTCCATATAAACATCATTGTTACATTACAATCATTTCTTACATCCACATATATACATGTGTGTAATTAAACTGACCCTAACTCCTTTTTTTCTTTCTCTTTCTATCTATATTTATTTTTGTTGAGTGCAGGAAGAGAAGGGTGTGGCTAGGGACGTTTGAGACAGCTGAGGCTGCAGCAAGGGCTTATGACCAAGCAGCCATTTTGATGAATGGTCAGAATGCCAAGACCAACTTCCCCACCTCGAAGAACCAAGCTGAAGCTGATGCCACCAGCACCACCCCTTGTGTTGGTGTTGGGGGTGGTGGTGCTGGTGGTGCTCATGACAACACTTTCTTATCTCCCAAAGCTCTTTCAGAACTCCTCAGCACCAAGCTGAGAAAGTACTGCAAAGACCCTGCTCCTTCCCTCACTTGTCTGAGGCTAGATGCTGACAATTCCCACATTGGAGTGTGGCAGAAAGGTGCAGGACCACATTCTGGCTCCAACTGGGTCATGAGGGTGGAGCTTGGGAAGAAACAGACCGAGGGTGAATCAACACTGTCGCCACACAGTAGTACTAATGACACTGCTGGGATCAATGAAGTAGAAGAAGAAGAAGAGGAGGAGGATAGAGTTGCTTTGCAGATGATCGAAGAGCTACTCAATTGGAACTAGAAAACAACTCTTGTGGTGCTCCAACTTCTTCTTCGGGTAACCCCCGCAAGAAAAAAAAGAACCTTAATCAGTGTCATATATAGTTGTTGAATAGTACTCCCCCCTTTTCTCATGCCATATCTATCTTTATATATATCCTTTTCAATTCGTTTACTTTTGTGTTTCTGTAAAAATGTTTGTCAAAAGTGCTGATATGGTGACGGCCAGTTTGATAGTTACTTAATACACTTTGCAATATTGTGATTGGTGGTATAATTAAGCATGAGAAGTTGGATCAAATTAGGATCAAGAAAGGGAACTTTGTAAGTGTCAATTTTAACTATTCCCTGAAGCAAAGTAACGCAAAGCCTGGGCAAGAATCAGCCACATGCATGACTTAACAGGTAATCTCCGATTCATAATTGAAACAATGATTGTGAGACTTCGTTTCTACTTTCAAACCGCAACATATATCCTGATCCTTTTTCCTCTTTCAGCTTAGTAGTTGTCTGCCTCTTTCCTAAACCATGTTACACTGCAACCTGTATTTTACCTGCAGGGTTTTTCCCAAGTCATCGTACATTCATAAACAGCTGTACATAAAATATTTTATTAATAATTATTACTTCTCTTTTATATCACATCATCTTATTTATTACTTATAGTTATCATTCTTTTAATAGATTTTCTGTTCATCAAACTTTTCTCTATTACTCTCTGCATATATCATCACTTCTTACATTTTGTTTACTGTATCTTGAATGTAGATAGATAAATAGTTAACGTGGCTTGTCCTTAGAACTTATTTTAAGGAGTGACAATATGACTCGTGTTTCGATAATTGTTTTCAATGTGTTTTTGGATATTGAAAACATCTTTAAAAATGGTTATCTTTATGAATCTATTTGATTTCAGTTGCTTTTTTTAACTTACGTTTCTGACTTTGTGATATTTTGGTTTCTCACAAAAGTATTTTGGTCTCAATTGAAAGTAATTCAAGTTGTTTTTTCAAATCAGTTTACAAATATTTTTTTTAATTATGAACATAATTTTAATCCAAATATGTACATCTGAATATCTTTTCCTCATCTAATCATGATATGCAATTAAAGTTTGTCACTTGTGTAATAATTTTAAATTTTATGTTAAATGTTTTAAAATACTCTATATATAATTATATAAATTAAAATGAAAGTTGAAATATCAATTTTATAAAAAAAATATCAAAATTTGATGTGTACTTTGTAGAATATTATTAACTATTCGTGTTATTATGACTTACGTAAAATCAATTTTTTTAGATTTAAATACATTTTAGGAAAGATTAAATGTTTTAAACTAGTTTATCACTGAGAAAAGTATTTTCTGGATACTATATAAACAAATTGAATACCTATTTTTTTCATGACAAGAGGCAATTAAAATTAAAATTTTTTTGAATGATTTTGTAATATATTATACAATATTAAAATTATCCAATGTAATTTTTGCAATATATATAAATTATTGACATCTAAATTCGTCAGTATATTATAGACTATAATTTTTCTGTGATACCCTCCTTCATGAGTTTCTATTGGTGTTCCTTGCATCAAACTACCGATTTTTTTTCTATAACAAATGTTATGTCAACTTTCTTTCAAACGCATTTATTATTTATAATCTTATTAAATAAATCTTTTTTATCCAATGCAACATTCTCATATCTATCAATACATTAAATTTATTCTCTTGCTGATTTTTAACCACCAAACACTGTTTATTACAAAAATCAAATTGTATTTGTACAGTAACAAATTTATATATACACCTAACTTTAATTTTATAGCCTCTTCCCTCAATTTTTCCTTCATTCTATATTACCTTAAAATTATACTCACAAACTATATATTTATAAACTCATAAATAAATAGTCCCTTCATTGTAAAACAATTATTATTTTTCGATTTTTTATTTATTTAAGTACATATATATATATATATATATATATAAACACTATACATATTTGTATTAAACTTTAATGGCAAATATACATAATAAAATTTCTTGAAATTTTATTACACCATATATGTTTATTAACAAAAAAAACATTACATCATGTAGGGTATCCTATGTGTTGAACATTATGGTTTAGAAATTTTGAGGAAAGTTGGTCTACCTTGGAAGAAAAACAGGGCAGAAGTTAATATTAGAAAGGGATGCAGAAAGACAAATATGTCATGGTGTGTGTATTTCTGCTTCGTTTGAGTTGATAAAAGAATTTAAAAAAGATAGAAAGAGAGGATATATTTTAAAAAATTAATAAGTTGATTTAATTCATAAAGAAAAAAGTTTGTTTATTGTTATTCTATTATAAATGTTTATAAAGAAGTTAAACAACTTGACCTGTAATCACATGTTCAGATTGTATATGTTTATGAATGAAAGTTTCGTAGGACAAGGATAAAAATTCGAGTATATGTATAATTAATAGAAACTTCTCAACTATAAAATCACATGCCAGACTCCATTTTTGTCTAAAGTAACTGTGACATCAATTATATTGATGTATCTAACTTCCAAGTTCATCTATAATGGAGGCTTTCTTTCATCAGTCAACGTAGTTTAATATACTACAAACATGTCATTTAATTTTTAAAATCATCAAACCTTTATTATTTTCATCAATTTTTATATTTTAAGAGACCAAAATATGTCATCCACAGATATGTTGGTAAACAAAATTAAACTTTTGAACTTGTACGTTTTCAGTTTAGTTCAACTAACACAAGATTTTTTTTTTTTTCAAGGACATAACACATTTTATATTTTTTAGGATGAAAAACATTTTTTTAATTATTAGATTATAATACAATAAATATTAAAAAAAAAAGTATATGTGTCTATAGTTGTTTTTGAAATAAAGAGATCCTTCTGGTGTAAAATGAAAGAATGGTACTGGTTTTTGTGGCCTACATTTAGAAGAAGGTGGAGAGGGTAGATGCCAGGAATTTTGTAGTATATCATCATAAAGAAGAAATTGACATAAAGGAAGAGATGACACAAGTAGCTGGGTGATCACTAAATGCTCCATGCATTAAGGAGCAAAGTAGTATGAACACTGTTGCCATTACTATGATAAGAACCCTTTTTATTATTTAGGGTTAAATTTGAAGGCACCAAAAAAAGTTGAAGAGCCTTAGTGAGTGCATATTAATGCCATCGATTTATGGTTGTGGAAACGATACATGTCACCTCAACAATGTCTTCATGTACTTTTGTGGGGGCAACTCTTCTTCGACAATTAACTTCACAGAAGTTTAGTTGGTGGCCGTACCTCACCATCTTCGAACACTCTTTCCTTCTCCATTTTCAACTCTTGAAATCCAAGTCACCTATCTCATCTTACTTAGTACGGTTTAAAATATATCTTAAGTTACTTCACTTAATTGATTTTATATTAAAACTTTAATATAATTTCAGAATCAAAGTCTAAGATATTATCATAGGTTAAAAGTATCTATTTGTCTCTTCCGATAAGTTTTTATTGAAAAAAACGTATTAAAAGTCTTACATCGTCTATCTCATATCATATAAGCTATTTCATTGAAAAAAAACGTATTAAAAGTCTCACATCGTCTATCTCATATCATATTTCACGTATGCTCAATTAGTTTAAGATGGAAACCTTATCATCAACTCACATCTTGATGTTTGTCAACTATGCTGCTTTTTCTTCTTCTCAAGAACAAAAACTGTCAAATCATTCACACACATGCCATCCTTATTATTTATTATTTCAATTTATTTAAATAAAATTAATGATATTTTTTTCTGAAATTTGTAATTATGTCTTTAAAACCAACCCTTTAAAAAGTTAGGTATTCTAAATATTTAGGTTGATAAGATATGTGTCGAAGAAAGTAAATTTGGGATGTATGGTTTGGATTTCTAAAACGACTTAACTCTTGATTGACTTTCATTGTCTTTGGTTAGCTTTTTCACAGTCCTATTTATTGATAGTAAATCTTCTTATTTTAATATGCATTTGAGGAAAATCTATTTATTAATGTCTTTTGTTTGAGTGCTAATTTAAACCTTATTTATTTTGTTTGGATTACTCTAATCCGATAACATTATTTTCCATTGTTATAATCTTTGGCCACTTTTTATTTATTTAGTATTAGTATTTAGATCAATTTTAATACTATTATTTGGAAAAGCTATCTATTTTTAGTCTCCATAATTTTAAAATACATTAGTTTTTATCCTCTTAATATATTTTTTTTATGAAATCACGTATTTTATCCTAATTTTAATTAAAAATTGCTTGCTTTATTTTAAAATATTCTTTAAACTCTCCTATACAAACTTTTAAAATAATAGATAAATAAATATTACGCGTAATATATATATATATATATATATATATATATATATATTTTTTTTTTTTTCGAATCAAATCATCCTTAAAGTCCTAATAGTATTAATGAAAGCCAACCTGTTTTCTCAACCAAATAATGATATAAAATTGGATAATAAATAGTAGAGAGTGAATTCCATTATTTTTTTTAAATTTAATTTTCCTTTTTTTCTTCCTCAACCAAAGACACCATTAATGTACAATGTTCATAACATTTTATTTAATTGAGGTGTTAGAGTTAATATATATATATATATATATATATATATATATATATATATAAATAAAAAATAAAAGCTGTTTTCTTAACTAAAATGAACTTCAAAATTTTCAATGTATAAAAATGGTGTATTAGTGACAACAACCCAATTTGCCATTGCCAGAAAATATAAACCACATGTCACAAACTATAAGCCATGTTTTCAGTCCAATCTGCACTGTCTAAAATTTTGTATTTAGAGGCCAAAAATGTTAATTTACTTAATTTGGACAACTTTTAAAAAATATATATTTATAAGAAAAAATAAAAATAAAATAAGTCAAATTTCTCTCATCAATTATAATAAACTTATATACATAAAAATTCTGAGCATGTTAAATTAAAGTTATCTAAACACAT